TTTCCACTAGCCTCTCTCCGTTCGCATACAAAATTTGGTGCCATATCTTTACACATACATTGAGAACTAGTCATGTATGCTGTTGCAAATAGCATCGCTTGAGCGAGCGGTTGCGGCAATTAGCGACGGCGCAGTTTGACGCGCGCGAACTCCAGTGTTCGCCTGTTGAGGCACATAACATGTTGAGATAAGCAGCGAGCATGAACTACCAATTTTTTTCCGGGGCATCTCCCGGACCCCTCAAAAACGACTTCCCCCTTGCATTTTTTGCCGAAAACGATTTCCAGCTTGTCATTTGACAACCTCGTGCCGGGCCCTTTGTGCGCATGCCGCCACAGTCAGGATCCCAGTAAATACCATCTCGTTCAGCGTTCTACGGCAATGATGTCTCAACCTTGGCGGTGACTTTTCCATTCGTTTTGAGGTTCAAGGCTCTAACAAAAGCTGCCTTTTGCTGTTTTCGCTCTCTCAGGTTGGTTTGTGAAGTCAGCAAAGCGCTTAGTCTCAGATAAGCGAAGGATCCAAAAAGGTCTGAACTAAAAGTTCAGATTAGACGCACTTGTGTGATTGTGTCCATCATACGAAAAACAGCTCTGGAACACTACGTCTCAGAGGTCATACCGTCGCTCCTCGAGAGTTCAGCGCGTTTTGAGAGTTTCTTTTTTGAGGCAACGCAAAGGGATTTGACGTGCACGGAAGTCATAATCGAAGCTCTTTGCATACCTATGTGTGTGCCCCCATTTTTCTGCACGAATCTTCAAAATGTGGAGAAATTGATGTGAAGACATTTGACATAACACATTGACAAAAATGCAGATCTTTAGCTGTCTGCGATTTGAACCAAAGGCGTTTACGAATCAGCCAACATTTCTGGATATAATCAGGCATATTGTTTACTATCGTATACATACAGCAACTTGAAACGCTGACAAGAAAATAAAAAGTTTTCCAGATCCAGTGCTAAGGAAAACTTCTGGAGTTATTTTGTCCCGAGATAGAGTCATCTTAACATAATTCAAGTTGACACACCAAAAAGAAGACTATTCGATTTCTGCCGAACGGTCGTCAATGTTATAGAAAGTATTCGTCGTACATGCCCCCCATCATTCCATTTAATCAATTTTTAGCCATTCAAAGAAAAGACAAAAAGGTGATGGAATAATTTTGAATCACCTCGAAAGTTCTGCCGTTCTTGGAATTTGCAACTTCTTGCTGCTTGATTCTCTTTATTGATTTCTATCAAGAAAGAGGTCTCGTTCTGCAGCACCGTTCTTGTGAGTGAAATTTATCAAATATCGATTGCAGATCAATGATAAAACGTAAATCGTCAAAAAATTTGGAGCAGTGCAGAAAAGTCCGAAATCTTTATTATACAAGTACATGACCTGCTCTGCCTAATTTAAAAAAGCTTGTGCTATTTGGATTTTTCTGTAAAAAGTTATAATTCCAGAAGGTGATAAAATGATTAATTTTGGCGTTCTGTGATGTGTATATTTTATTATCCAAATTCCACCCGCTCGGTGAATTTTGGGCTACGGGGTAAAAAGTTATTACAAGAGCTAAGTAAGCATACTAATTGGAAAAACAAAGAGGAGCAAAGAGCTGGCACATAAATGAGAAAGAGAACCGAGAGAAGCCTAACAACTCAGGTAGTTTCTGTTTTGCATCAAAAGTGTTTGAAAAGATGACATTTTGTATTCCAAAAAATTTTTGTATCTTGTCTTTTTGCAACAAATACAAGCTGTGCCCTGATCGCAACGATGGCACATAATATGAAGAAACTTATTATTCAGGATAATATAGCACAAAATTGATAAATCCTCTTTAGCGAAGTTTTGTGAATTTTTTTAGCAATTTTCCAAGAAATTTCAGGCCAGACTTTGGGGCAATCTGCTACTGCAATGGCGACGTCGCGCCGCCAAAGCTCGCCGCCATAGTCGGCATGCGCGCCGAGCTGGCCTACGGTATTCTGCACTTATTTTGCGCAGTCTCGCCAGCTTCTTCGTGTCGCGACCCCGCACCATGGTGTCGCGAATTTTATGAAAAGTTACATGAGCATACACAGAAGAAAAATGCTCATTCAGATTTTAACCTGCAATATCGTCCATCTCACCGTAATGAAGTAAAAAATTCAAAGAACTCGTTGACTTTTTTCTAATTTTTTAGTTTTTCAAGTACAATCAAAGAAATGAAAGTCTTTGGCTCTTAACTCATCTGAGTGTTGACGTTAGGATAAAAGAGAAATAAGGAACGTAAGGCGTTATTTGAAACCATGTATATTGTTAAGTAATCAAAATGACCCTTTTTACATATGTTTCGAGAAGAGGTCTTTATTTTAGTAAGCTAAGTCTGCAAATAATCATCGCCGAATGTTGGATTTCAACTTGCAATCTAGGACACAGGTCACAGCTTGCAATGACATTTTAAGTAACTATATCATGAAAAACAGACGTGAATCAGAAATAAATTGGAATAGGTAAGGCGGCGTTTCGGAGTCAAACGAATTTTTCGTTGTTGTCTAAAAATAAAACGAACACGACAAATTGATAAAAAAAGGAAATTAACGTGTTTTTCTTTCAATTTTTGCACATTATCGCGCTGCAACGTGCAATACGCGTTTGCGCGATTGCTTCATTCATTCTCACCGGTGCTAAATGGGTGCGGACTACCGTAAATCAACTTGGCGCGCGTGCCGACTATGGCGGCGACGTTGGTAGTATAACGCCGCCCTCCACTGCAGTCCAGGTCTAGGTTTTCATGAGTTATCGTTTTGAAGATGCACTGACTGTTGAGGGGTGAGTCTATTGCTCTCGAGTGCAATGACCTTCTACAATAAACGCGTCAACATTATGGAAGATTTGAAGATAAGGCAAAGACAGCTTAAACGATCGTCGATCTTCGGTCCTTCGTGTCGTTGATTGTGTAGAAAATCAAGGAATTTGCATTTTCTCTTAGATAAGTGACATACCAGCCTTGAATCTGTGAACTTTTTTTCAAAGCAAGCTGTTGGCGTCGCTGTGCAGCTCACTTTCTTTTCTTTTGTCGGTGACCGTGTTCCGCCTATTGAGTTTAACAAGATTTTGAATAGAAAAACTTATTGAGAGTTGATGTGATGACTGTAAACTATAATAAAAGGATCAGAGGATTTCATTGTCTGTCGTGCAAAGCCTTTTTTTGCAAACGATCTCATATTAATAGGGCAGTCATGTCGCCCCACTTGTGATACCACAGAACAGAACCATCTTGTGAGAGAGGGTCAGAAAGCAGCTAAAAAAAGATCTTTTCTAGCTGACGAAAAATGAGAAAAATTATGGAAGAGGTAGTTGTAGTGGTGATCAAAAAGTAAAAACGCATGCCTTGGCTCGAATTTGTTAAATTAAGGTCAGGCAACTTTGTTTTCCTGCCCTTCTCTCACTGTGCTCATCGTGTTTTTCGCAAATAGGCTTTTCGGAGAGGAAAAAATGAGATAAGTGCAGGACCTGGCACCAGCTGGCACGGGGCAAGCTGGATATCGTTTTTGAGACAAAAAGCAAAGGGGATATCGTTTTTGTCGGCAAATTGCGACGTTTTTTCTTAGTCGACGCTTCGTTTTTTTTTGGGGGGGGGGGGGGCTTTAGGTCTAGGTCTTTGGGTCAAGGGGGACTTCGTAAAACTTAGCAGAAATCAAGGAGGACTTTGTTTTGAAAATCTTCTGGTGCCAGCTCGTGCCGAGCCCTGCATGAGTGACTTTCTTCACAAAGCTTGAATGCTGAAGATATACATGAGAAAAGTAAGCTCTCAACTCCCTTGACACTTCCGAAAAAAAGCCATTGCGATAGCCGTCAGAGGCACAAGACGAATGCAAGCCATGCTTCAGTTTTCGAATGCGTTGTGATAGCCTTACCTCATATACTGATTCGCATAGGGACTGATGAGACGCGATTTCCTGCGTATTGGTTTGGGTTCACCACAAATCTTTACAACATTTAGGATTCCAAGATCCAGAATTGACTGAACATGAACGATTTTGCATTCTTTACGCATAAGCTTCATCGTACACTGATCAAAGTCTTGGAAGACAAAGCTCAATTTTTAAGAAATTATGTTTGTTATGAAGATTCAAAATAATTGGTATTTTGACGCAATTTTCAGAAAATGATAGATCTTTTTCAGATAGACGAAATGATTTTTTTAAAGAAAAAACCATTTTTGTCACCAAAAACTGCGTGTTGATCGACCTACCGATGTTACAGTTTTACAATCTAGACAGCGATTCGAATGTAATGTTCTCTATAACACCAGATGACTCAATCTGATGTTATTTCAATATCCCACCACCTTTTTTGGGCAAACTTCTACCCACATGCGGATTTCCATCTTCGATTGTGGGTCTGACGCATAGTTGAAAACCCATAACTCTCCTCAGAATGATGCCTTCTTAGCTACGGAGAGCACTCGGTCACCTCTTCAAGGCATCTGCAACTTTCGCGCATATCGAAATCCAATCTTGATTTAGCCCTTCAGCTGCCTGATGTTGGCCTACCTACCACTAAAAACATATTGCACCAATATTGTCGTCAATACTTTTTTTGAGCTCCAGTAAATAAGCTCAACTCCGGATTGGCTACTAAAGCTTTGCTTCTACCGCTAGTCGTTGGCTGTTCTACTCCAGATGGATGGACTGAATTATTCACAAGAACAGAAAGTGTGTTAAAGGAAGACTTCCTTCGCGGCTTTCCAGCCCCTTCCTCTAAATGATTTGCTTGCTAATATCAAAGGATAGGGATACGACACTGGTATGGAACCAGTAACCTCGTCAGAACCAAAACTTTAGAAGGTACTCCGTTAAACTATTCCTGCCCTTTCAAAAAGGGTAGGAAGAGAAATAAGAAGCTTGCATCACCGGACTTGGTGACTGCAACAAGTAAGATCAAATATTTCAGGATCGATGTGCCGGAGTCTTCTTCTTGTGCAAGATCCTCCCCTCTTAAGTATGCAACGTAGTAAAGATATTGAATTGAGAAGAATTTATTGGAATTTCAAAATGACGACGAATCACACACTGGAGAGCATTTGAGGCGAAGCCTTTTTCTTGCACACAAATGATCTTGTGTTAGTACTACAACGGTAGTCACTCCATTTCTGGTACCATAAAGCATCAATGGCTCTATTCCAAGGATCAGGAAACATCTGGAATAGACTCACATAAACTCTATTGTAACCGATAGAGAATGAAGTGGATCACAAAGTAGTCAGATACGCTGAACAGAGGAGTACAGCATGCTTGGACACTCAAGGTATTTTGAAAGTAGTGTGTTTCTGCTGGGGTAAGCTTAATTCTTTGAGCAACGTTGAGGAAAAATTTTTGATTCTCCTTTTACCTTGATTATTCGCTGCTTCAATTCGAGATGCCTTGAAGAGGAAAGTCAGAGGCAAAAGAAACTTCTCCAAAAGCTGTCAGATCGCTGCAATCCTTAAAGCTTTTATAGCCAAACAAAATCAACATTTTTCATGAAAAATCGCTTAGCAGTAAATTCTTAAATGCAGTCCACAAATTTTTGATACACTACTGTCAGATTTTTACTAACCCCCCCCCCCCCCCCATAGTGAGCACCGCCCTGTATCCTGAATTACTCTTCGTTCTGCTAACAAATCGAATAATAATTTACCGCGAAATTTGAGGAATACATTTTATACTTAAGTACCTTCAAGCAATTATTCCACAAAATTTGCTTTACGTCATGTTTTGTAACCTTCCATTCCAACTCTTTCTCTAAATGATGATCTCTGTTGTCCTAAAAGTCCTTGCGCATTTTCAGAAAACTATAACTTCATGGCATCTATATGGATTCCTTCGGAAATAATTATATATGAATGCACTAATCAAGATCTTTACAAACGTAAGCACCCGGTGAAACAGTATGAGAAAATTCGAAAGATACAAGCAATTGAACGAAATTACTCTTCCACTTTTCAAGCAGGACCACGAAAAATTGTGGAAGCATTTTTGTTTGATAGAGGAAATATTCATCCTTTGGCACCTCTTTTATGAATCTAACGAGAATACGAGAGTTAAAAGCAAATAAAGAGTTCTTCTTTAGCTTTGCAAATCTTGAGTATGCTCGATAAAATCTAAAAACGTCACAGAAAAGACCGAAACAGTAATCTATGTGGGTTTCATGACCTTCTCTTCCTAACTGAGCGAATTTCGAGCTAATCAAGAACAATTTTTGTTTTTTGTGATTTTTTTCGGATTTTGGTCTGCGTTTTACATGAAAATCTAAATTGTTTTCGGTTAGCAGGAAACTAGCTCAGCAGAAAGAGAAGGTCATAAAACCCATATGCATGACTATTTCGGTCTTTGCTGTGACGTTTTTAGGCTTTTTTGAGCATGCCCAAAGTTTGCAAAATTAATGTAAATCTTGTTTGGTTGTAACCCTCGCATTTTCTCGTCTTAATTCTTGGGCAAAGTAATAAAGTGACGAGCCGTTTCTTTGTGATCCTGCGACAGAAAAACCGAAATATGGCGCTTCTAATCTCAGCTTCCCTTCCAAGCGACGACGTACGTGTATGCGGATCTAAGTGTTCTATATCAAGTTGCCGTAAACAGTTTTTCATCATAGTAAAACAAGGTTATGTTGCGCAGGTAATTACTTAACTTAATTATTCTTAGCTCTCGTTTATACTAATGTAATTGTGCCCAGTCCGCCGCGCGGGATCACAAATGCATAAGCACTTATTGATATAAAGCACGAGTACTAATTCTTGTCTGCGCAATGTACGCTCATGCTGGATCGTACACACGTAGCAGTGGCAAGCAGGGTTAAAGGCACCGTCTACCCAAATCTGCGACTTTCATGTTTTTGCCGTTCCAGGGCCTTCTCAAACCCCTGATTCAGAATCTAAATCGAAAAACTACAAAAACTTCAAAAAACCCCTCTTTCCAGAACCAACAGGGCGAGCTCTCTGGAGCGGTGATTGGTTGGGTGCACGGATGGGCGGGGCGAACGTCACGCCCATTCAAAGGGGAGGAGCCAACGTGGCGAAACTGTCATTCGAGCCATTTTCGAGGCAAATTTCTCGCTTCAGCAGCAATTTTTACCAGCGCGAGTTGGACAAGAATACAGCTGGGGGCCCTATTACTGTTAGGCATCAAAATCTCACCAACCCCATTTTGGACGGACGGTACCTTTACGCGTGGGGTCACCCGACCTGGAGGGTCGGATCAAGGGTAAGATTCAGGGAGGAGGGAGCGTAATTAAGAATCGAACTCGTTCGAAAAGTTGGAAGAATGTTACGAATCAAGTAAGGTGAAGCAGAAAAAATTTATGCCGGTGAATATCACAAATCCACAGAAACTGAACTGATGACTGTCGTGAACAGCATATGATTGAGTCCACTATCGAAATCTCAGCCAAATTTCAATTGTACATCTCTTGCCTTTCACATGCCGTAAGATCACCGAAGAAGCTTGTTGTGCTGGGCGAATATATGAGGTCGTTTCATAAGTTTGTAGCGTTTTCGTTTCCATTTTGTCTTCAAATCTTTGAGGAGCGGTTGATTTACGGGAGGGTGCGTATATCAATTGCAAAGACTAATTGTGCTTTTTAAAATATGTCTATTGAATCCGGTGGAAAGCTGATTCACTCGGTCCTTGTAGCTTCTAAAGATGGAAATTTTGAGAGGCAAAAAGGAGCAATTTCGGCATTTGTGCACCTTTCCTTGTGGAAAGAAGCCTTTTGCACAGATTTTACTGTCGATTATGGAACATGGCGCGCGCACATCATTATGAGGCAAAAAAGAATTGAATTGCTACAAAAGATCAGGGGCTGAGCAGGATGTCTAACAGATAGGTTCAGTTTTTCTGCATGACGAAACACGGCCTCATACGGCAAAGTTGTCAAAACTGTCCTGCACGATTTGACTGGAAGGTATCAGTACCCAATGTACTCCCTTTAGCACTTACCCAAATTACTCGTAGTCAAAACACGTCAAATGATGAAAGAAACGGTTTTTGGAACATCGTTTCGCAGATAACGAAAGCAATTTTTGAGATCAGCGTTTCAAGGCAAATGTCACATATGCCCTTATTAAAAGGCCACGGTCATCAAGCACCTTTTTTCCGCCGTCAGAAAACCTGTCAAACTGCATCAAAACGCAGTTAGTTTTTTTCTCGTGGCAGAAAAGTAGTTCTTATACAATTCAGAAGAATTTTTTTAGACTAAAGCTCTTTTTTCGAATTCTATAAACAATTGGTCCGGATAAGGGAAAGTACCCGAATATCTACCACGAATTTCACAGACAAGGAAAGCCTATTTAGCCGAAGCGGTTTTTTACATGTCACCTATACCACTTTAGAGCATCGAACGATGATTCCAAAACCGTATTCCTTATCTGCCAAGCATCTTTTGATTCCAAATTGTTAGCGTTTAGGTCAAAAAATGCATGTGCAACCGAAACAAAATTGTTCAGAATTGCTCCAATGCTCATGCGTTAATTAACAGAGCGCTCTTTCAAGGGTAACTTCTGTCCCATACCCTCATACTTATTGCGGCTTTATTTGAACGCAGAAGATCGTGATCATTGTTTTCATTTAAATTTCTTTTTTTAGCTATGAAAATTCTCATAATTCGGCGTTCAGGGTGCTAACAGATAAAAACAGATTTGGAATTAGCTTTCAACGCCCTTTAAAGTGGTATAGGACTCATTTGCAAAGGCCGCTTCGATTGAAAACTTCTCTTGTATGCTCTGAGGTGTTAAAATCATTCAAACATATTTCAAAAATGCTTGAGCGTTTCGACAATGCAACGCTCTTTCTTTTTTCTTTTTCTTTTTCGTAGCTGTAAAATTTCTGTGGGGACTTGCGCAAATAAAATCCCAACTTTTTTTGAGTTTGCTGAAAACGATCCAGCTAAATCCGACCCTTCGCTCACATATACATTCGTGATTTTTCATAGATCAAGATGAGTTCTTGTTGAGTTGAGTGCCATCTTGAAAATTTGCATTAGCACATAAACTTTCTCTACTCCTTGTTCTCATCTGTAGCTCCTAGAAAATTTTCATTGGTGGCGCAACCTGTGCGATCGCAAAAAGTATCTCTAAGCGAACCAACGAATTTTCCAATTTTACTGGAAGTTTTGGTACTCGTTCGTTATGCGCTTCTCTCTTGAATGGCTTACTCTAAATTTATTTTTTTTGCTGTTCATTGGCTCTGGCATCATTCGCGGGGTGAACGGAGTGAAGGGAAGAAGGTTAGTGGTTTTTACGCGGTAAAGTAGTTGGTAAGAAAGTTCTCGGACATTTTCAGAAAAGATCTGCTATTTCCCGAAACATAACGCATATATGTCAGATAGAGGTACCATTAGATAGAGCAGCAAGCTCTACAAGATGGTATGCTAAAATTCGCACCAGCTTCGACCCACCGTAAGTTTGCACCCAAAATTTGAGTCGTACCGAAATTCAAAAAAATCGCGAAAAATTCATATCTTTGTTCAAGCAGATCCTACGGATCTCCAACTTTCTCATAAAAATTGCGGACCACATCAGACACTCATATGCACCATTCCTGTAATTTTTCCTCGTCTAGAAATCGAAAAAACGAAAATTTTCATGCTTATGTAAAAACGAAGCTGTGCTGTTTCCACCCATGTAATTGAATAGTACAAACCCTTAGAAGTATAATCGTGAATTTTTAGCTTTCTACAAGCCCTAGTTCCCAAATATTGCCGAGTTGAGCGCTCCTCACTCGGGCGTTCCATTCTAAAATCAATATTTTTCGACAACTAGGGCTTACGGAAAGCTGAAAATTTACAACTATACTTTTGAAGCAGTGGACAGGAGAATGGACCCCTGCAGATTTTGGTAGTTTCGGGTAGTAGACCCCCCAAGTACATCATAGCCCCAAGCCCAACTTCCAATTCATGCACTAAGTCCTGAAAAACCACCTTGAAATTCCACCACAAATGCCCACTCAGTGAAAGCGGGCGGGGCTGGTTAAGTTTTGAAGCGCTTTTTAAGACTGCGCACGAATTGGAAGGTGGGCTTGGGGCTATGATGTACTTGGGGGTCTACTACCCGAAACTATCAAAATCTGACAGGGGTCCATTCTGCCTGTCCACTGCCTTTAAGGGCTTGTACTATTCAATTACATCGGTGGAAACAGCACAGCTTCGTTTTCACACAAGCATGAA